ACTCTGCTTTAGTTCATATCTTTATCAAGAGCGTTTTTCTTGCATCTACGTGGCGCAGCAAACCATCACAATGTCTAGTCAACTAGCCCACAGCCAAGCAATGTTTGTATAATTAGCATCCCTGCTGTTACCTATTGTTATTTGTCATTTACGATTTAAATTAAACAAAAAATTGGGCTGTATGTATGTTGATACTGCCTAAAACTTGGTCTGCCTCAACGAGGAAGATTCTCCCAGCTGTAGATGAGAAATTTAGCCATGCAGTGCCGTACAACCGCTAGCCTGGGGCCTTTAACGTCCATCCCGCAGTAGTGTTACACGGCTGCACCCCGGTACGATGCTCATCAACATCGAAACGGGCAGGGGTGGGGATTGAACCCAGCATCCTGGGTTCTGCAACGGACCTTTCGCTCGACGTGCTCCGAGCTGGTGTGCGCTAGCCCAGCCGGCCACAGGTCCCCCGATTTAAATAAAATAAAAACCCTTCACTGCGGAGCGTAGGGAAAAATCGGAGCTACGCTGGGGAACTCGCCGCCGCCGGGGGGGTCGGAAATGTAAGAGGGGAAGTGGGAAACTCGCCTGGGCGGAGTCAAAAGAAGCTCCTTCCCTCCCTCGTGACGTGGCATCGGAGAGATTCCTGCCGGAGGCGAGCTTAGCCCCCTGGGGAGCTAAGCTCGCCTCCGGCGGGAATCTCTCCGATGCCACGTCACGAGGGAGGGGAGGAGCTTCTTTTGACTCCGCCCAGGCGAGTTTCCCACTTCCCCTCTTACATTTCCGACCCCCCCGGCGGCGGCGAGTTCCCCAGCGTAGCTCCGATTTTTCCCTACGCTCCGCAGTGAAGTTGTTTTTATTTTATTTAAATCGGGGGATCGGTGGCCGGCTGGGCTAGCGCACACCAGTTCGGAGCACGTCGAGCGAAAGGTCCGTTGCAAAACCCAGGATGCTGGGTTCAATCCCCACCCCTGCCCGTTTCGATGTTAATGAGCATCGTACCGGCGTGCAGTCGTGTAACACTACTGCGGGATGGACGTTAAAGACCCCAGGCTAGCGGTTGTACGGCACTGCATGGCTAAATTTCTCATCTACAGCTGGGAGAATCTTCCCCGTTGAGGCAGACGAAGTTTTAGGGAGTATCAACATACATACAGCCCAATTTTTTTTTATTTAAATCGTAAATGACAAATAAGAATAGGTAACAGCAGGGATGCTAATTATACAAACATTGCTTGGATGTGGGCTAGTTGACTAGACATTGTGATGGTTTGCTGCGCCACGTAGATGCAAGAAAAACACTCTTGATAAACATATAAACTAAAGCAGAGTTTAGACGAAAAACAACATACAGGAATGGCGCAGACTAACAACTGTGTAATTTCTTTCTCATCTTTCTCCCCCCACACCGCCACACAGCCACAATATTTTTTTTATTTTTTTTTTATCAGAATAGGGTGCACGTGGAGCGAAAGCTCGCACTGCAGAACCCAGGATCGTGGATTCACCCCCACCGCTGACCTTTTCGATGTTGATGAGCATCGTACCGGCACGCGGTCGTGTATCACTACTACGTGGTGCGCGTTAAAGACCCTAGGCTAGCAGTCATACTGCACTGGCTAAATTGCTTATCTACCGTAGGTGACAATGTCGCAATGTTCTGGCATGTTCTCCTGCTGTATAAACAACTAACGGCCAATTTGTTTAAATACGGTGTGGAAGAAGAAAGATGAGAAAGGAATTACACTGTTATTAGTCTGCGCCATTCATGTATATTTCTTTTCTTCTATCATCTGTTTTAGTTTGAATTTTATCAAGTGCGTTTATCTTGCATCTGCGCAGCACAGCAACCCATCAAAATAATTGTAAAAGCCTGAAGGTAACGGTAAATTGCGTTCCTGGTTGCAGATTGCCGTAAAAACACATTTGTTTCTAGGATTCACTTTGTAGAATTTGGATGTAGGATTCACGACGGGGGCGACGGTTCATTCACGGCTCCATCGTCTCAAGCCCGGTTCGCCACGCAGTTCATCGCACAGCCACCTTACCACGTCTTTCGAGAGTCGATAGTGTTGTTGAAAATGAACGTCGTCCATGTCAAACACATTGGCGTGGTTTAAATACCTATGCCGACGGCAAAACACGAACGAAAACGCTGCCATTTTGGACGCTTCTCCATGATCTCGCGCCCAACTCGCCGAAACTCGCCTAGGTCGGAGCCGGCAAGCTTTTCCCATCCACGGCGGCTTCTGCCACGTCACAATGACGTCACAGCATTTCGCCGCGAGTTCCGAATATGCAACTCTCCGACTGGCCTCAAACCCTCCGTTTAACGTCACGACCTAGGGAGTGTCGGCGCGTGTCGTCATGCACGGCGCCGACTAATCGCGGCGGTCGGCGAGTTTAGCGGAGAACTCGCCTCGATCTCGCCGCGCCGAGCTTAGCCCCCCAGGCCTTAATACTGGCCCGATCTTTACGATCCAGCACCATTATCGGCAGTATCAAAATGATATTCGCCCGATTTCTCCGATCCGACACCAATATTGGCGCAATACTGTGTGCTGCCTGGGTAGACGTCAGTAGAGCAAACGGGTTTTATCAGCTGTCACCAATCTAACACCAACAACGGTGAACGGGTTGCATTGTTAAGGTTATTTATAATGCAATTATAGGCAAAGGTGCAAGCAAGCTGGACAAGATATGACGAAAACAATCCCTGGAGAAGGGGAACAAGGGGGACCAAGGACAAGCAAAAATCTTCAAACACAGCTAGGTGACTGGTGTACGTCCGAAAGATCCGCCTGGTCCTGTTATCGAACCAGGGGGCTCTCCATTTCCAGTGGAGTGCTCTACCAACTGAGCTAACCAGGAGTTAGACGTCAGTGGAGCAAACCGGTTTTATCAGCTGCCACCAGTCTAACACCAACAAGGGAGAGGTCCCATGGTTCGATACAAAGACCAGGCAGATTTTTTCGACCGCGCACCAGTCACCTAGCTGTGTTTGGAGATTTATTTTTGTCCTTTGCCCCCTTGTTCCCCTTCTCCAGGGATAATTTTCGTCATTCTTGTCCAGCTCGCTTGCACCTTTGTATTTAATTGCATTATATTAATAACCTTAAAGACGCAAGCCGTTCAACCTTGTTGGTGTTAGACCGGTGGCCAATAAGTCTAACACCTTGTTGGTGTCACACTTGGAGATCAAAAGCGGCCGCTACAGTCAACTAAGTTTTACAGAAAATCTCCGCTGCTGTTCGCAAGATATTTTCGTCAGATGGAAACATGTTGGCACAAGTGTACGTTGTTGTCATGTGCGCGTACAAACGCTAAAAGCACTGATCCCCACGTGAAATTAAGACCTCGATCAGTTCCGGGACAGACTTTGTTCTTTGAATTTAGTATTGAAACCACTGAAACGCCGTAAAATCATTCAGATCATTTACAAAGCAAAGCTTGGTTCTGAGTACTTAAAGGGGTACTAATGCATCAGTATGCGATATAATGGGCAGGTTGTGCACGGTTCGCAACCAGCGCCGCACGCGTCAATGCGTTGACCCAAACCACGGTTAGAGCACTATATAGCTCCTACGGAGCAGAGTAGCGCAATCCTTTGAACCCCGTGTTTTGCCGACAACATGGCCGACAGAGCGGCTCGGCGCGAGTCACGTGGTACTCAGGGTTCCAGGAGGCGGCCCGCCCTATGGGAGAATACATGGAGATCGACATAACACGGCTGATTAAAAAACTAACGGCGAGTTCACATTTTTCAAAACTAGCCTGTCGTAAAGTTAGTAAAGCGCTAAACACTTTATCAAAGTTTTAATAATATCGGATGCGTGTGCAAATTTTGAGAAGGCAATTTCCAAGGCAATGGCGTTTGAAGCAGACGATTTTTGCTCGCAGCGGAGATGGGCTTTTCGGGTTGGCCGGAGCGGGTCACGTGAATGGTGTGACGTCGCCGTGTCGTCTGCTGCATGATGCCGCTCAGGCAATTTTTTAAAAAAAGTTACTTCCTTGTATGGCACAAAACTTATTGCATATTATTCTAAAATGTTTCATTATTATGTCAAAAATGATTTCCATTCCGCACATCCCCACAAAACTGAAGAAACAACGATTTTCTCACGTTCTCCATGCATTTCTGACCGCAGTTGGAACCTCCGGGCGTTCGCCGCTAGTCACCGAGAGACGGCGTTCTAGATTGCGCTACTCTGCTCCGAAGGAGCTATCGACCAACACATTGTTTACAAACAAGCCCGCGTTTGCCCACCAGGCAAGGGCACTGCGCGCGCGCAGAAACCAAATTCGGCCTAGGTGAATCACCTGCGCATGCCGGATGGATGGATGGATGGATGGATGAATACGGCTGAGCCCTTTGGATCGGGCGGTAGCTTACGCCACCTAGCCATTTTGTTTTACCATTTAAGCTTAGAATATTTAAATGTGAAATCTATATTCACTCCGCAGTGCAAAGAAAGTGAGGCTATGAAACCCCCTTGCCATCAGTGAATAAGAAAATACCTAGTTTTCTCTCGATTTCTGCCACCATTCACTTAATCTTTGCTTGGTAATCTCTACAGTCTTGAAATCCACTCTCCCTTCGCTGTCTCTAAAACCCAATGACTTTATTAAATCTATGTTGTCTTCGGTAGGCATAGGGTGAAGCCCTTTACAGTAGAGTATCAAGTGCTCAGCCGTCTCGTCCTCCTCTCCACAAGCAATGCACACTGTATCCATTTCCTGGTACTTCACTCTGCCCAGTGCCGACAGCAGCGCCACCGCAGCGGCGTGACGTCAGAAAGTTGAGTTGGTCTATATAGTGCTCTAACCACGGTGACCCAAACCGAAACCATACGGTCCGCCTTTTCGCCCCCTCCTGGCCAACATGCAACGCTCGCGCGGTGTTGCCAGTGTTGCATGCAGCGATTTTCGAAGACCTATTCACTATGCGCAAAACTAAAATGATAAAATTATTTTAAAATATTGTAAAAATAGTTATGGTGTGCCGAAGTTTTACCTACATCCCCTACATCTGCCGGTTTCTTCCTCACGCAGCGATGGTGGATCCTAGCCAATTCCAGCCTGTTTGCAAAATTGTTGTAAACCACATTGATCAAATGGCGGCGCCCGCCTTTCCGACAACAAAATATGGTACGTAATTCAAATGTTGTTGCATTTTGGCAGCGTTAACTCCGTTTGAACGTTGACAGGTCATGTTAGTGGTTCTGTGAATGACATAGCGTTTCTTTTGTTTCAGTCCGTAACACTCCACACCGACGTAGGCGACATAAAGATCGAACTTTTTTGCGAAGCCTGCCCGAGGTCTTCCGAGGTGCGTTCTTCGTTCGAAACCACTCACGCTTTCCTTCCCCAGTGTACTAAAATTTCTCCTGTTTCCTCGCAGAATTTTATGGCACTATGCGCATCGGACTACTATAACGGTTGCCTCTTTCATCGAAACATTAAGGGGTTCATGGTACAAACTGGCGATCCGACAGGTAACACCTTTGCAATCCAACAGCAGTTTGCTTTTTCCTTCTTATATGTATTTTTTTTTTTTTTTTTTTTTTTTTTGTTCTCGGTGCTAGGAACGGGAAAAGGAGGAGAAAGCATCTGGGGCGAAAAATTTGCAGACGAATTCAGGGACGATCTAAAGGTAACAAGCCATTTCAGTTGTTGTCACTTGCAGACGCTGGTGGGAACAACTTCCGTCATAGCTCCGAGTTAAAACATCCGCCATTCTCAGGCTCTCCGCGGTTTCTTTGCATGGGCAGGGAGCTTGAAATCTTTAGAACGTTCTGTTATAAATTTCTTATTTCATTTGCTATGAAAATGTACTCACTTTTAGATCATTCGAGCTGAACTGCATTCTGTTTAGTGTGTAATTGGATACTTTCTGCCCCGTGGTACTGTTCTGTCCATGTACGGTCTGTGGGATCACCACAGGTAGCATGTCTTATAAAGAGTTCCTTTACTAACACGCTACAGTTTGTAAGGCACAGTTGCAAAGAAAATAAAATTGAATGTGCCCGTGCGTTTGCCCGGCTTGTTGGCTACACGTTAAAGGCCGACAACCGGACTCGAGATTCTGCAAGGCAGAATATCCTCCTTACCATGGGGGGAGGAAACAGGCAACGGTGGACAGGGTAGAAGGGGGGAGAGGAGGAAGCAAAGGAAAAGTGGAAAGCGTGAACTGGTCGTCAGTCTTTAAGGGATAAAGGGCCCTCTGTCTGTCTGAAAGGTTTCTTATTGGCCGTTTAACACTCGCATTCACACATTTTGCGTACCTATGCCGAGTTGTGCTAACCAGGGGAGCAAAGTGCACTCATGCACAATACTAGCGTCGTCCGTTTGCACCTGTGCAGCGAAAGGGTGACAGCTTGTTGCCTCCTGCTTACTTCCCCACACGTGCACACGTCCCTTTCCAGCACAACGTTCGGGGAGTCGTATCCATGGCGAACAACGGTCCCAACACCAATGCCTCTCAGTTCTTCATAACATATGCTAAGCAACCTCACCTGGATCTCAAGTACACCATCTTTGGAAAGTATGTGGCTGCATCTTTGCTTCTTACAAAGCCATTGACTGCAGTGATTTTGGATTGAATTGTGGGGGGGAGTCTGTATTGTTTCATCAAGATATGTTTGCCATACATGCATTTCGTTGACACTGCGGTATGGCGCAGAAACTTGTTTGGTGGACACAAGCTCCTGCGATGTTTCGTCGACGACATTTTACTTTTTTTACAAAGTGCATAATCACATTTGGAGTCTGCTAAAGGCTAGCCTCAAGCTTCGGGCCCCTCTCTGCTCTCTTCTTCCCCTGTAACCCAGGCGAGACGCAAAACGTTTGTTGTGGAAACAACAGAGTTGCGTTCGACACAACGACCTGTCAACAAACCAATTGGGGGGTGGTACAGTGTGGGTGAAAAGCAGCTAAAAGGATGAAGTGACGGTCACACTAGTCGGTGGTGGAAGGCTTCTTTATTCCAAGATCAGGTCATCCACCACGACGGTCCTCGGCGCTCCACGGGGAGAAAGTAGTGTCCTTTCCGTGAAATGACTGAATTGCTAAGGTCTGTCTACCTGATTAGTGCCTATGGCTTTTAGTTTATTCGTAGAGCTGGTCGGAGAGGAAGCACGCAGATTCCAAATGTCGACAATGACGAAGCAACTACCATAGTTGGCAACACCCCAAGTGCTGGGCATTTGTTAGAGACCTAGCCTCCAACATGTGCTTTGCCAGTGCACGCATGCTTGAAGCTCAGGAGACGCCCCGGCGTTGTTGAGGGTTAGAAGCTAGCGCTGGATGTGGGAGAACCGAGAGCCCCTCCTACTTATCCTTTCTGCGACCATACCTTTTGACACACACTACGCAAGTGCCGGGCAGTCTCGGAAATCGGAACTCGTTCTCCGCTGCCAGTCTGAAAGTGACCAAGCACGGGCAGTAAATGGTGCCAAACTTGGTTCAAAAAGGGCTCATCCTTCAAGAAGCCACTTTTGGAACCCTTTGGCATTTAGCCTCCTCATCGAGGGACATCTATTTTTTTTATTTTGGGTTAAATCTTAGCGTTTAAACTGAATTTCCCTGGTCCCCTTTGTGATCATTTCAAATTGCCATCGATCTCGATACTCGTTTCATTTTCGCCGGCACACCCTCCAGTCATTTCGTCATTTTATGATGGTTGGAGCTTAGTGCATGTAGCCTAATCTCAAATACTTAATTTGTGAAGATTAGTAATCCAGTGGCATACATTTCGTGGGTTCTTATCATTCCAAACCACTTCTGAAGTGTCTGATGGAGCGGCGTAGACTTTCCATTTTCCTGGAGGGGGCAGGCTGAGAAGTTCTCCGGTGGGGGTGGGGGGGGGGGGGGGTGCTTTTCTGCACAATTTATTTTTACACTGGCAATTATCAGTAGTTTATTTTAGGGGGTACATTTTAGAGCCTATGTATATCGCCATGTGTCCATCGCTGTATGCATTATTTTGATTACATGCCACTACTAGAAGCTCGTTACATGGCACGTAAACAGCGTCTGGATTAGTATCATGGCCGGGGGGGGGGGGGGCTCTGCCCCCCTCCGGATGTCACCAGGGGGGGCACGAGCCCCGATGCCCCCCCCCCCCCCCCCCTGTAGTCTACGCCTATGGTCTGGTGCATTGTGCTTGTTTAAGAAGCTATGATAATGCAAACTTTCTCAATTAAAGAGGAGAGCATTAGAGAAGATCATAAGACTAATAGATATTTCTCACGGTGCTTCGGAGGTTAAAGTTGTGCCAACCTTTTCTCCAGGGTTATCGACGGCCTGGACACGCTGGACGAACTCGAGAAGGCACCTGTGAACCCAAAGAACTATCGGCCTCTTCGAGACATCAGGCTGAATGCCGTCACCATTCATGCCAATCCTTTTGCTAAATAAAGCGGCCACTCTGCACTTATGCTCTCTTGCATTATACACAAGAGCAGTATGATTATACATAAAATTGAAAGAATAAAACACAGAGGACAAGCACACGACAACCACTTTCTTTCATTTAGCAACGACGTTTATTTTGGGCAAAGACATTTGCCCAGACAGAGATTTTCAGCTTGCGTATGTAACTGGTTTTCGATGCCCTCTCTATTTTGTGCCAAAAGTAACAAGCGCTTTGTTGATCACGCCAACCTACAGGATATATGGTCGGTTTGGGTCAGGGCTTTGCAGCACGGGGCAGCTGCTTATCTTCTGCTTCAGTGCCTGAAGGGCTGCTTCGCATGACAGCGTCCAAACCTTCTGTGCGAGATCTGAGTGATTTGAAGTTTTGACGTACATCGTCGCCCTAAGTTCAACGGCACAGCAGGCCTACACGGTATGGGTTCTAACCTTTCTGCCGTGTTGTGGGTTTCCTGAGCCTGAAATAAATATGATTATTTCCTATGGACGATCACGACGGCCTTCCGACTGCTTCCGACTCTAGGCGAAACACCCAAGTAGCACACTTACTCGGCCCAAGCTTGGGCCAGACTGGCGCGAGCTAGAGCCAACTTGGCTCAAGCCTGTCGTAAGCTTGCGCCAAAATGGCCCAAGTAGGAGCCGGGGAAGTGTGCTGCTAGGGCAGGCTCAAGCTGCCCATGTGCCCATGTTTATACATCATCTGATGCCACAATATGGCAAACCAGTAAACTTGCAGGTTAGTTACAGTTTCGCTTTTATTGTATTTCTTACGATTAAAAATTATTTAAAGTCTTGGAGAAATTTACTTGCGGCTCTAAGCTGTTTCTCGAGCTCTTTTAGAAAATATGTTTAGTTTAAAACGTTAAAATTGTCGCCAGAGCCACCCTTTAAATCTAACAAATATTTAACTACCATAATATCTCGAGTCATCACCCACCCCCCTGCCGCCCAAAATTCGTAAAAAAAAAGTGGGGTGCGTCATGTCTCGGTGGGTAAGCACAAAACTTTTTAGAAAAAGATAAAAAACGCCCATTTTTCTGTACGCATCTAGCACGGCTGCACAGGAGACACAAAAAACTCAAATTAATTTCATTGTTTTATACTACAAGAAATGCTCATGACCAGAATGGTTTTACTATCGCAAAGACGGGGGTTCGCTGACCTCGCGATTCCTGAATGGGTTACTGCTTGCATTATCTTTCCAACTTCTTTTTCGTCTGAACAAACGCTTTGGTAAGCAAAACAAACTTTAATTCTGTTATGTCCATCGTTTTCTTTTCGCACAGTTGTACTTTGACATCGGGGTCGCGGAAATCGGAGAAAAAATGCGTAAACCAAGTGAAGTGCCTACACAAAGGTCTGCGGGTGCGTCATTCGGGTAAGATGGATGTTCGCGGACCGCGAGTCTGCGATGGGAAATTTGTAAAAACAAGCAATCACTTGCTTCACTTCTTTGCCCCCCCCCCCCCCCTTTTTTTTTTTTTTAGAAATCAATATTTGCTTGAAAAGTGGGGTGGGCGACGACTCAGGATATAGACCCTTTCCGAAATTCAGTCTGGCCACTTTGATCACTATCATCATCATCTGAAAAATGGCATATGTGCCATACCAATGGCGGCTTTTTATTTACTGATGAAGGAACATGGTTGAAGATACTCCTAAGCTGAGGATTCGAAGCCTATACATTCCAGACGTTAGCACGTTAATTGCGAAGCCGGAATTGAATGCTAGCGCTGCGTAAGCGCTCATTTCTCTAGTTCGTGCCCAGTGAACCTGTTAGTGGCACAAAATCGACTTCGAAACCCCTTGACTTATAGAACTTTATCAAGGCGTCTGTCTGGGCTGGCGCTTCGTTCTGACTGGTTGCATCTTTGTGGGAATCGACACTGGAAGAGATGATCCAGAAAAACTTGTATAGCGAAGAGTTTATTCTCGTCTGCCGTTGACATGCAAAACTGACGGTGCGCGATAAAATACTGCAGGCTACGGGTTCATTGCTGCCATTCGTATGGCAAAAGTTAAACCGCCATTTCAGCCACCAGATGGCACTGAATTTCGGAAAGGGTCTATTACAGTTTTTAGGAATTGTGCTGCATTTTACAGTTTGAGGAAACCTGCTTTAAAACGCTTTTCTATGATTTTTTTTTTTTTTTTTTCGTTTCATTCTGCTCATTTTCACACCTGCACCCAAAAAGAATGCTTAAAATTCTGCCCAAAATTATGCGTACATGGTAAGCTTCTGACGTATATCCTATCTGGATGAGCAAGGGTATTAGTGGCAATCCATCATGAGCGACATAACACGAGACAAGACCTCGTTTATTACGCCATCCACACCTCATCGAAGGCAAGGCTGGAAGCAATTTGACACACAGTTTCCAAATTGGGTGGCACGAAAGCAAGAAAATGTCTAGTAATATCTCGAATCACGTCGGCTTTCTCAAATTACGAAAATTGATGCGGCCTTTAGTAATGTCTACCTCCAAAACTGCAATCTGCAACATGCCCCCTGAAACTGGTAATTAGAAAGTTAACTAGCAAGACTTCCTTAAATTGTGAGCACATTGTGACAATCATTCTATCACTGAATGCCTGCCAGGCCATACAAATTCACAGTAAAGAGGGTATCTGAGTGGCAAACACCGTTTTTTCGATCCATGTCGATTAAAGGGACACTGCAATAAAAAAAAAATACTAAAACTAAAAGAAAACAATTTACCACAAAAAGATTTTTTTTTTTTTACAATATTTACGCCGCTAGACGCAATTTAGGTGCAGAATGTGGAGGTCGCAGCCCGCCAAGCCTCGCTTAGTGCTTACATCTCTCACTGGCTGGAGAGGTGATTGACGTGTGAAAGGTTGGTTGTAAATTTGTATCTTTGTGCCGTATTAGTATCTTAATCGACTATTCTTTTATGGAAGCAATTACTCAAGATAGAGTCATTACTCTTTGCAAATGTATTCTGAGGATGCTTCTCCCGCTTTGGTTTGAAACGTTAACAAACATGGCTGCCGGCGTCTGTGGATTGCTGAACGAGCAAAGCTTGTAGAGCTCGTCAATTTTTATGAGTGCGAGTGGTTTTGAGTTTATATAGGTGTTAAAAGGAAGATCTCATCAACTGACATGGTATGCAGCGAACAACTGTCGCAAGTATGCGCCTTCGGAAGCGCTGTGCAGATGCTTGTTTTCGTAGCGGGACTCTCCGAAGCCTAGCGTCCCTACTTTGATGCGATCTGGCTTGATTTTTCTTTTTGCGAGTGTTGGTGTTCAATAAAGACGTTGATTCACGTAAAAGCAGCCTCGCTGCTCTGTGAGTTGTGCAACCGTTGTGATTGCGATCATGGTTTCAATATCGAGAAGATGCCTCCATAGGTAAGAATTTGCGAGCCATTTGGCTGGAGGCAATCGGGCATTCGACTTGTATCAAATTCGTCCCGTCATTTCGCTTCGACAGGCAAGTAGCTCTCAAGGTTTGCAGTGCACATGGCCTGCCGAAGCAAATAATTTTTTTTATCACAATTTAATTGTGCGTGATGATTCTCCCTCACCTTGCTCGCGGATGCCATGGCAAAAAATTAGCAAGGACATAAAAGTTGAAATGACCGCATATTTATTTTGTTGCTTTTTTTAGTCCTCTTGGTCGCTTTTTACCGCACATTGACAGACGCCGACAGATGCTTGTATTGAACCGTTGCCCGTGCATGATGGAACGCTAGAAAGCTGCTTTTATGGTCAAGTCTTGCGAGCCTTGTAAAAGTTTTAGACAGGGGCAGAATAGCAGACGGACAAAGGCAAAAGCAAACACCGATGGACAGCTTTCGTTTCCGTGCCTGTCGGGCAAGGCAGACGACGATAAACGGTGATGATATTGCAGACGATGCCGAAGGCTGCCACGCATCTGCTCAAACAACTAACAGGCATTGTCAGACCGCAGACTAGACGTGCCAGATGTTGAGAAAGGGAGACAAAAGGCTTGTTAGCATGTTTGGCCGAGCAGCCAAGCCAATCCAATAGTATGGGCGAGGCAAATGATTTGTGGGCTGTGACGTCACATAAATTGCGTCTAACAGCGTAAATATTGCGAATTTTTTTTTCTTGTGTGCTAAATTACGATAAAAAAATGTGTCCCATCTATGCTGTTAAAAAAAAAAAAAATTTGCATTTTAGTGTCTTTTTAAAATGATCCTGGTGTACAGTATTGGAGATTAACGGTGAGTATTGATACCATGTTTTCTCTAATAGGATAATCCTAGAACGGCCCTATGAAAGTCTCCAATGCTTCCGTGAACACGGTGTGGATTGGTCCTTCAGTCTACAAAGTGAAGCAAAGAAGTTATGGAAAAGAAAAAGGATGCTGATTTATTACACAATATCATCATCCTGAAACATTCTCTCTACTAAACACATACTCATCTTTCCTTTTTTGTCATCATTCAAGCTGACAAAGTTCAGTTCGCGTTTTCCCAACTATCGGTGCAACACCCTCGTGCATACCAGAGGGCAGCTGATTTTTTGAGAAACACCTTAAATATACCAACACCTCGCTGCTGTCATTACACCGTGTCTCTCACAAGAAACACCCAATTGTACAACCAAGCAAGCTCTGGTCTTCAACGTGCGGCACATCATTAAAGACCGTCTCCACCGCACGAGGCTGCAATCTGGTGCATTACCTAGACCCATGAAACCTCGCAGAAGACGACGCAAACAAACACCAAACGTGCCACCTAAACGCAGAAATTGGACAGCCCAAAAAAAGCGCAAAACATCTAAGGTCGTTTGTGCAATCTGTACATTCACAACATAAAGGCGGCTCTAAGTTACACCGAAAGTAGCGAGAGGAACACATCGGAAACGGGTTACGTGAGCACACCAACAGAAAAGGCCACTTCTGAAGTCATCGGCCAGCGCTCGAGTCGCGCAAGATAACGGTGAGTTTGTCTGCGATGGCCCTACAGCCTACTTGTGGCAGTTACAAGCTTTTGACTCTCGTGGACAG